GTCCAGACTTGAAACCTGGTGATGCTGTTGGTTTCACAAAGAATATGAAGCTAATGTGGAAAACTTCTTAATAGGTCTCTCCATATCATCCCTTCCCCCATAGGTCTTGTTTGTGTTTTTACTGAAGCACTGATTAAAACAGAAGCTCTTGCATACAAAGCAGACATGACAGCTTAGATCTGTCATGAATTGTCAGATTTGTGCATGAAGCCTTTCTAAAGTAAGTAATGGTCTTAGAATACTGTACTGGAACCTCCCATCATCTTTTTCTGCTATTTATCTTCTTTTTAGTAATTATTTTAAGCTATCACTAGTGCAAAAAGAATCAGTGAACCTGGACTACCCGTGAGCAAACTTTCTTCTGCAATTGGTTCCGATTTCAGAACTGTTGATTCTTTCCACTTAGTGTTTATCCTCTCATTTCCTTGGGTCAAAGTCTGATACTGTTATTACAGGAGAGAAACTGAAATGAGGGAGGAGAGGAAATGAAAAATAGTGTCCTTAATGAGGAAGAAAACTACAATGCTCTCTAAAGAACTGAAGTCATAAATTCACGGAGAACTTAAGCTAATCCAGAGAATATTTGAGTACGCAGAGCACACTATTCATTGGGGAGTATTCTTCCTTATTCTCTTATCACAGGGTTCTAGTTTCTGTTCATTCATCTGTTTATCATGTGGAAGATTTTTATCAGCAGATATACAGCCTTTTATTACCAAGTTGTGCTGTCTGCCACTAGCCTGTTGGAATTATTTGCCTTTCAGGGGTATCATGACTCTTTGATACTGGCATGAGGAAAACCCAGCAAGTATAAGTTGACCACTGACATCTGTATTGTTGGGTGAGATGGGGAGGAGCTCCTTTGTATTAGTCTTCATTCTCTCTACTTATTTTTGCTAGTGTGTGGTTTCTTTGAGCTCTCTTTCTCCTGTTGTGTCCCTTCTTGAGAAGGGTTGGGGGGGAATGGAAGAAGCTTCAGTCTGTAGTGCTTTTTCCTGACCTGTATGAAAGTTTTTGGTGGGTTTTGTGGTTGTTTTTTTTTTTCCACCCTGAAAAATCCTGCAGATAGAAGAAAACTTGACCTATTTTTACCATGGTTTTAAGGTGTCATGGAATTGGTAGACTCGCATCACTGTTGCTGATGAAGCAAAGATTCCTATCAATAGGAATACTATCAATAAGTAGTTTATATCAATGTGTAGCAAAGATTCCTAGAAGGTCTTTGGATGACCAAAAGGATGTACTTGGACTAAACTACCATGTTCAGAGAAGGAAAGGAAAATTGGAGTGGGCTGATGTGACCCAGAATAATTTTTACGTGCAGAGGGGGAAAAGCAATAAAAGTTGTTTGGTTCAACTGCCAAAAGGTAGTGCCTTCAAAACCCTAGAGACAGGACAAAGGTAAACCCAGCACAGTTAAAGTAGCTAGCATGTAATTTGGTTGAAGCTGAGGTTTTAATTCTGATTTTTTTTCTGTGTTGGTTTCTAGTCATTAAATCTTATGCTACCTCAGTGAGAGTGCTGGGCACTAGATACATCTGCTTCCTTTGTCAGCCAGGCACTGTTGTTGTTTCTTTGCAGCTGTTTAAAAACAATGGATGTAACATTTTGAAAGCTGGCTCACTTAATGTACACAATATAGCTTTGTTTTTGTCTCTTCGTTATGGGGAGTTCATTCCCTCTACCCAAACGGCTTTCTGCTACATGCTGCCTAGTTGGTGAACATCTGGTATTCCTCTTAGTTAAAGATCCTTAGAACTGTTTGGTTTTTTCACCACTTTTCAATGTTGATACAGTACAGGAAAGAGAGTTCTTGTTAGGCCTCTGCATGCACTCAGGCATTTGCTTCTGGAACCCACTTATAATCCTGACTGTTTCATTAAGGAAGAGGTTCTCGTGTAATTACTTAAGTATGTTAGTGCTGCTGTATTTCTGCAGTCTTCTGCCTCTGACCATGTGCTCCTCTTCCTCCTCATGCTGATACTTGGCTGTGTCTCATCTCATGGTGAGAGAGTTATGTGATATGTGTATGTTCGGTATCTATTGCTGAGGTTAATTTTTAGTTTAGCTTCTTGAATCAGCTTGCTAGATGAGGATATGAGAGCAACTATTGATACAAAAGTTGGAGTAGAAAGTACATCTACAGGAGGCGGGCTTACAGCAGTTACCAGTTTAGCTTAGCCTAACTTTACTGGTACCCTGAGATGTTTCAAAGGAGGTTCACTTAAGGTGTAGTTCTTAACACTCGTTCTTAACACTAATGGTTTGGATACCTGATGAACTATATTGCGGATGGAAGTCCTAAATTTACTTGGAATGTTACTGCTGATGAAGAGAAGACCATACTGGAAGTCACATAGCTGTGATAGCATTAGCCACGTTGCAATCCTGAAGTAAAAGAAGATGCAATTAAATGTTGATGTTAAATCCTCTATTATAACTAAATTAAAAATGTGCATCTCTTTTGGACTATCCCCAAATGCATAGCCTGCTACAGATGTTGATATGACTCCCTTCACAGCAGTCATTCCGGTTTAATTAAATATTAGCACTTGCTGACAAGAATATCTTTATTCTGTAGGCACATGAGAATACAGCAGAAACCAAAACTTTACATAGCAAAGGTCACGGTAAGGAGTTTGTCAGAAAGTTCCTGAACAAGTCAAGATGTTTTTTCTGTGCTTTTTGTCACATTTACAAATTTCCATAGGGGATGAGAGGGCTGCATCTGCTCATCCACTGTGGTGTTGGCATTGTTCACTGCCTAACGTGGACCTGGAGTATCTTATCTACTCCCTCCTTCAAGCATAAATTTTGGGGAACTGCAAAGGGACTGAAGTATTTTGGGTGAAACATGAGTAATCTCACCACTGGTTGAGACTAGAATTTGTGGTTGTTTGTCAGGCATTGACTGGTTTTCTGTCCAGGAGTTGCTGGATTTGCTCAAGTTCAGAGGTCTCAGTAAAGTGGATTTTCTTTCTGTATGGTCCAAGAGAAAATCAAACCATCTGAAAATATGTAAGCAATCTGAATTTCGGAAGTTCTTTCTACTGTGCATAATTAAACATGTTTAAGTTTTCTTGGCCATTTGCTATTCTTTTCCACTCCTTTCTCATCCCTTTCTCTGCCACCAGTTTCTATAATAAATTTTAGGTAGAGTTATGAACACCAAGTTTTTCCTTTTATAACTTCTGCAATTACTGTCTTGTTGCCAGATACCTTGAAAATTAGCCAAAAACTCAATTGTTTGATGGCTGTGTTCACTTGTTGAGACCTGCTTATTTTTATGCACAGAGTTCTTATATTTAGGCTTTGAAACATTTGAATTCTGGAAATTGTTGAAACCTAGAGATGGTTCCTGTTCACAGTTTCAGGCCTCCCTGGTATGTTATATAATAAAGCTTGCGATTTCACTTGCTAAAAGCATTAAATACTGCTTTACTTGGATAGCACTATCAGTAAGTAGTTTACATCAACACATAGCAAAACGTTTCTGGGGCCCTTGAAAAAGGAGGTGACTGGAAATAGTCAGCATGGCTCTACCAAGAGTCGGTCATACTTGACCAACCTGACTGACTTCTGTCAAATGGCTAGGTCTTCAGCGGAGGGGAGAGTAGTGGATGTTTTTTTACTTTGACCTCAGCAGGTTGAAGAGTCACCTCAAAAGGCGGCTGATGGTTCATACTGTTCATGGACAGCAGTTATAACTGGACCTCCTCAAAGGTCTGCTGTGACCTGCTTTTTTTTTTTTTTTTTGACTTGATCAATAACATGGAGGAGAAGGTGGAATGCACCTTCATCAGGTATTTGGAAACTTGGTTCCTTGTATAAGTGGCATTTATTTCTAGTGCTGCTAAATAAAATAGCTTGAGCATAACCATTTGCTCTTGTTGACTATTTTTTATATTAAGCATTAGTTACTTGAAATCTACCTATTGAGTAAGCATTGAATAGTACATTCATTGCATAAGCTAATTTCATCTAAGAAAGAAGGGAAAAATATTCCTTCCCGGTGTTAAAAAAAGTTTTAGAACTTTATAGTGATCGATATGTCTTGTCTGTCACTTGTCTTCACCCGTTATTTTGAATGTAGTAGTAAACCAAAGCAATTTGTAGAGCATTTGTTCTTTGAAGTTAGCGGGGGGAGAGTAAGATACTGGAAAAGGAAACAGAGTAAATCTTAGTTTCTCTGAGATCGGTTCACTTCCCTCTTTGCCCAGGCCTGTGAAAACAAGCTGTTATCCTGGATGCTACATGCAGACGTCTCCAAAATGGAGAAGGCTTTAGTCAGATTGATGCTGAAGAAAATATGTACTGGTGTATTTGGGCATGGTGGGTTTAACTGTGGTAGCCCTTCTCATATGTTTGTGCAGAAAGCAATTTTGTTTCTTTCTCATAACCAAGGTAATTTTGGTGACTAGTCAGGTATGTTTCTGCTTTTGCTTTTAAAGAAATCTGTGGTGGCTAATGACAGGCTTCTTTGTCATGGTTTCTGTCTTCCTTTGTCATGGTTTTTAGTCTTCCTTTGAGTCCAGGATCTGGATATATTCTTGTAAAATGATTGCATAAGTATGCCAGACTTTTCCATCTTCGCTCCACTTAAACATGCATGCATGTGCATAAGTATATGCAGGTGCTCTCTCTGTCACATAGTTGTGTGTATTCCTGGTTTGGAAATGGATTTGCTTACACCTCTGTGAAGGTGATACCTATTGATAGTGGAATTTTTTTTGGCGAGTGGTGGCCATTGAATGGTGTAGCTTAGATCACTTCATACTTTCTTCTCTAACAAGTAAAAGGTGTTTACGTGACCTTTTGCTGTGTTACCTTAGACAAGTAAGAACTTTGTGATTAACTTGGCTGCTTTCAGTGTTCATGTATTTTACTAGTTCCAGTCTAGAAGTTGCTATTAAGCAGTTCTTGAGCTATAGATTTTATTAAATACTGGTTGTTGAACCAGGAGAGAAATTGGTCAATTCTTCCGTCTTACTACTTTCAGACTCACAGGCTCTTCTGCTTTATTCACACCTAATATACAAGGAAGAGTCTCTAAAGTGAATCTTTATCAGAAGGACAAAGATCTGGAAGAAATTTGACATTTGTGCTACGTTCAAGGTAAGACTATTAAAATTGTCCATGATCTGATGACAAAAAGCATGAATACTGAGGCTTGCAAAATGGTAGAGTTCTCAGCTTGCATATTATACTATTCTTACAAAATATTATGAATATTTATTAAGTATTAAATACTTCTGCATAATTCTGTGATCAGAGGCATATCAACTAGCTGTGGCTGTGTTCATTAACTAAAACAGTTAAGTAGGTTGCTACATGTAACTAATATTTACTATGTAAAACTGTCTTTTGGGTAGCATGGTTCTTCCCATTTCTAAAACTGATACACTAAGCTGCATGATATAAAACGGAATGTATTACTAAACTGGCAGTGTCTTAGTAACTTTTTTCGGCTTTAAGATCATGTGCTGAGGTTGTAATTTCTATACGGATGCAGTATTACAGCTCTTGAATGACATTTCCAGTCAATTTCAAAATATCAGGAAATAATTGCAAGTTGTAAGGCAGGTTTGCTGCATTTTGGAAGGAATGGTAGATGCATTTCTTTCAGTAAAGCCATAGCTTCAAGCACTTATACAGTTGTCATCTGTCTGCAAGTTAGAGCACCAATCAAGTGGTAGGAGCCATTGACATCATTCAGCAGAGTGATACCATTGCCTTCAGTTTCTATGCACAGTTTAACAAAATGTTTAATAATGTTTTTTGTGTCATTCTTGCAGCATCCTCAGGGAAGAGTGGAGGATGTAACAAGGACTAGGGGGATAAAGCCTGTAGCAAAGTGGAATTCCCTCTAGTGGGACCAGTCTTGCAGAGCATGTTGATGGACTGTCCTGTTGACTGGGCTAGCGTGATGTTCATTTGCAGAGACGGCTGTGTAAGAAGGGGAATACAAGGCCATGGTATCCAGCCATAGAACAGGTGGTGGAGACATTCACATGGAGTCATTCAGAAGGACATAGGAGATGTTTTGGGGACTGGAAAGTACAAGTAGCACTTAATGTAGGCAGCTGGTTGCCTAATGCTAGCTCTTCAGTTTTGGGGGGGGTGGAGACCTACTGAAATTGGCACTCATTGTGCTGAATTCAGCACCTATTTGAAGGCTCAGATCAGCAGTCTTCTATTCATGTACCTATTTCTAATTTGTTGTGACTGTGTGGTTCTGGTTTTTATATAGTAGCTTTTACTCAATTATCTGTGTAATCCCCAAGCTGAATGTCTACTTTTCTTTTTAAACTGCTAAATTCATCAGATCCTTTCAGTTGTCGTTCTCCAAAAGCCTGAATACTTAAGTATTCCTTTGTGAGCCTTAATATTATGGGGTTTTTAATGGATACCTAGTTTAATCCAGGCAGTGTGTTAAACCTAGTATAGAGTATGTGCAGGTGAAGCTTTACAAGTAGTTAAGTGGTAAGACTGAGATGTGAGCTTTGGAAGATATAAATTGTTTTAAAACATCTTGACGTGTTGCCTCTATAAATGGGATGACAGAGTTCAGTGTGTGCCCCCTTGCTACTATTACTGTCGTCTTTTATGCATCTTTGTGCGAAGATGTTCCTATTGCCATTCAGTCCAGCAAGGGCATGTCTTGCAGCCAACAGTGTACAGGAGCAGTAACCTTAGGTGGAGCTGGAGATGGTGTCTTAATCTGTGTTATCCAAATTTGCCTGCAGCTGATGTCTGACCTGATGAATTGCATAAAATGAATATTGAATTATTAACATGCTTGCTTCCCGGAATCCTTTTTGCTGTCAAGTCCATGTAGACCTATCATTACTGCATTGACTGCCTGTAGTGCCTTTAAGCACCCTCTCTAATACTGATTTCTTGAAAACTGGCATGGTCTTCTTGCATGTTAGTTTTAACATTTTTACTGATAAAATTGCCCTTTGAATTTTTGCAGGTGTAGTTCAACACGTATTGTGATACTTGCATAGTGGCAAAATTAAAACTTTTTACTTAGTAGATATATTTGAAACTTCAGCATTGAAATATATATTGCAAATCAAGAGAGTTTAAACTGTACTGATTAAAAGTGAGTCAAATTGATTTATTGTGAAACTGAAGTTGCAGTACTAATTGGACAAAACTTTGAGTATTTAAGCTTGCAAGTTGCCAAGTGGCTGCTTCTTGCCCAGTACTCCTCTGTTTAGATGACAAGTGAAGCAGTTCAGATAGCCTCAATGCAGACACCTGAAAAAGATTCCATGTGTCCAGGCAACGATACTGGAGACTGCTGCCAGAAAAAAAGGTAATGGAAATTTGCTTCACTCTGCAGTTCCTAGAGATGGTAATTTTTCTAATTAAAGTTCAGACTTTTTCTTAAAACTTCTCTAGCCTGATGGAAAAGTAGAGCATGCTGTAAAAGTGCAGGGGGGATTACTGTGTTCTGTGAAGTAGTCTGACAAGCCATCTGTGATCTGAAACCTAACTTTCTATAACATACTGTGGATTGAATAGTATGTATCATGTGTACAGGTATATAGATCCTGTTACAGTATGGCAGTATATCATTACATATCATGTAGGATCAGCTGCTTCTCTTAAGCATTTGTTTATAACTGCATTAAAATGCTTTGAGATATGTCTTACTTGAAGTGAACCAAATCAGTTCAACTGGATTGATTAAAGACTACTATAAATCTGTGTTAGCAATAAGGGAGTGACTTTCTAAGCAAATAGACCCTCTTAGAAATTCTAAGATGTCTTTACATTTCTAAGTGCTGATTCTCTTCATTCTAATACAGTACTGTTACTGAAGTAACTTTGCTAATAGGTGGAAAAAAATTCTTAACATGGAAGAGACTAAGGAAAAAAAAAAAAAAAGATGTTCTAAAACCGTAATTGAGGTATAAAAATAACTACGTATTTTAACAGTTCTTATTTGGAGGCTTCAGTTCCTGTATTATTTAAATTGGTTCTTTTGGAAGATTGCATGTGTGTAGGTTGTTAGTTGACATAACAGATGCTTGAGTTATCTCTTTCCAAGTTGTGCGCTTTGCAGTAAACATTAAAATGCCTATAGCATAGTAGGTGTTAATATTTGGCAGCTTGTAATACTGGTGTTCTTATGTTACTGATTTGAATGTGCTGGTGATTTTATTATGGTGTTGAATGACCTTTTTTTTTTGCATTTAATTTAACTCCTTTTGTGTATAAACCTAGCAAGTGGTAACATGGCTAAAAAAGCCACAAATAGTTCCAAGTGGTTAAGTAGTATGGCAGAGAATTTATGCCTCCTGTAGCTGTCTGCACAGGTACATCAGCAATGTCCCAAGTTTTTTTTTTTAATCTGCTGTGATGGCTCAGTTTTAGTTCATTTGTTTCTGAAGACTTACCCTTAGAAGATGAGGGAAGAATAAGAACCTTACTTGCATTCTTGGAGAATGGAGACTTGCATTAGAGAAAGGGGAAGTCCTTCCCCTAATCATCAGTATCGTATAAAGAAATAAAGAAAAAATTCTTGCTGTCCCTTATAAACTTGCTAAAACTTGATTTCTGTCATTGTCAAACATACCAACATTAGGGAATTTTTACTGTATTTTCTGTACCTGGTGCTAACTAAATACTGTATCTTTGATCTTTTTGCTTATTTTTTCACTTCACTTTGTGGAGTTTAAATTCATTCTGAATTTTGGATATGCTTGTGGTTCCACTTAGGGTTGTGTGTATTATACATGTAAGATAGGGAAAAATGTTAGCTGACATGTGGTTGACAGGCTTAATTCCCCTGATAGAGAAGATGGGATGCTACTGTGCCTTCGAAAATCCTGCGTGGGATATTTGCTCTAAATACAGGTTCTGTACAGAAAGAAGAGTTGTAGAAACAGGGTTTAAGCTTTTTTTCTGTCAGGAGCAGCAGAAATATGTGTTATTGAAGATGATAAACTCCTTATTGGCTTCAATGGTAGTAGCAAGACTTCATTTAAAAGCTGACTTGTTCTAAATGGACTGCCAGCCACTAGTTGCTAGGGTGGGATTCTCCACCCAGATTAAAAATTAACTTTTGAGAACTCTAGCTGTTAGCTGGCTTAAAAATTGCTGAATGTTCAGTGAATGAACAGTGATATCAATCCTTTGAAAACTGTCAAACTTCCTGACTATATCCCACAGCTAGAGCATCTTAAAATTTTGGACCTCAGTCATTTTGCTGTCTTAGCAATGGAGGTGGACAATTCTGCCAGGCTTCTTACCTCCATCCTACAAGGTTTTGAAGTCTGGAACAGTGGAGTTTATTACCCAAATGCTCATACCTGCTACAGAATTAACTGATCTAAAACCTGCTGCTTTCTCTGATTTTCCTGACAACTGCTTCTGTAAGAGCTCTTTATGCTCTTACACCTAAGATGTTCTTCTGAAAGGCTTAACAAGAAAGGGCTAAGCCTGTTCTACTGCATAATCAACAGGGAAAGTTTTTATTTGCAAGATTACTTCTAATTTGAATAACACCATAGTTTACTAACACCTTGCTCTTTTCCTGGGGAAAGGAACGACGATCTCTGCGTGCTCTACTATATGCTGCTCCTACTATACTGCTATAGTGTCTAGAGTGGATGAGAGAGTTCACTTCTGTGTGAAGTGAGGTGTGATTTAGAGACACGCGGTTTTGGCCCAGAGGACTTCAGAGTAGCTGTGCCTTGTGATGTTACCAGATGACAGGTGGGATGGATTCTTTCTCAGAACACTTAACCAGTGCTCAGACTGTGATTTCTGCTTGTTTTAACCAGATGGATATTTACAAAATCCAAGTAATTTACCTGGAGTGGCTGTATTTTTTTTTTAATGTTGATTTGAAGTCCAGGTGTTCAGAGGAAACACACGGACAGATGGTTGCAAACTGACACATTAGCTATTGCTACCTAGGTGTTCTAGCTAGTAAGATGATAATAAATATACCTCATGGGGAAACACCAGAGGAATGTGCTCAAACAGTAGGTGCTTCAATAATAGTAAACATGATCTTACGTTGCCCATGCAAATCACTCTGGTGTGTCTGAGCTGGAATTTTTAATCCCCATCAGTAAGACGGATGTTTGCAGACTCTACCATTTGCATTAAGCAAAAAGAAACACAAACCCATACAGAATAGGAACATATATTCCTCAGTCTGGAACTCCTGGATTGCTGTGGAAGGCGTATCTAGAACTTTACTTACACGATAGCCATAATGTAAGATACAATAAAAACTAGTTAGAGACTTTTGCAGGCTCTTCTCTAGAAAGTCCTAGCAGCCCCAGTGAACATGTTTGTTCAAAGTAGAAGTCCTCTGCTTACAATCCTTCTCTGTAGTTTTAATTGAGGTTTTTCTTTTGTGAAAGAACACTAACACATAAATGCAGTACAGTTTAACTCTTGAAGATACTCTCTTCTCCTTAATTTGACTAACGATCAGGTAGCTGAAAATGAACAAGTTTTGTACTAAGGCATTTTTACTGAAGCATGTTAGATGGCCTTTCTCTTCAGCATTCCTGAAACTGGATGTTTGAAAAGCTGTCCAGCATAACTGGTTGAGAGACGATTACATATTTCTGTGCTGGAGTTATGCTGAGCATAACTCTGGTTTCTTACAGGAGGACAGAGGAGTAAGTGCTTGCCAGCGATCTTGCAGTAGGCAAATGTAGATTGCACACATGCATTATGAATTCTAGTAGGGCTGGCTTTTGGTATTCCTTCATCTTCTGCTTGTATAATTCAACAGAGTTTGAGTTACTCATCAGCTAGATGAGCAGTCTCTGCTTGAGGCGTTCACTTGTACCAGCATAGCTATCTGTGTGGCTGAGCAACAGACATTAGCATGGAAACAGGAACGAGCTGCTGAGAGCAAATATTGCTTAAACTACCACTGCTGCCAAGACATTTACATGGCCATAATGTGAATTTACTGATCTAAAGCTTACCTAAAAAAAGAATTGCAGATAATTTAGGAATTGAAGAGGTGCCTTACAAATGCTTATTAAAGATAGGCCTGCAAGAAAAAAAGTTCAGAATAGCTTTTGTAACTGCTTTCTAGATGTAGCAAAAGGCAGCTTTCCAATGCTGTAGCTTAAGTTCGCCCTTTGTGAGGTGATATTTAAAAGTATGGACCTAATTAGAATGCTAAGCCCATAGTATTATCAAGCTTTTAGACTAGTGTAAAATACTAGCCTAATAGTGTGTTCCTGTTGGAAATTCAGCCTTGAGTAGTTCAAGTTACTAACTTGCAATAAAAGTTTGAACTGCAAACTTCAAACTGCTGAATTAAATTTTCACCAGAACCCCAAGTAAATTTATTTCAAAGCATTTACCTTTTAAAGAAGCCCTGGGTGTTACTCCTAAAATGCAATGGAAAGATACCATTGCACTTTTTGCAAAACCATAATGCTAGATAAACTGCTTCAAAAAGGATAAAGCACTTAAATTACTTCATAGAGGTTTTTAGTTTTGAACTTGTGTTCATTTTCCTTCCTTTAACTGTTGCAATAATGAACATTCTAATGTAGCTTCCACATTTGAAGAGGGGGGAAAAAACAACAAAAAAACACCACACCCACAAAAACACAAATCAAGGCTTTGCCCAGTCTTGGTTGATTCACAGTGCTTTTGTAGAACCAGGAACCACTTAGCAAACACAGAGAGAATTCATTATCCTTTTATTACAAAGGATGAACAACTTTCTATTTATGGTGAAAGTTGTACATTGTCTTGAGTAATTACACAGAAATTAACTCCTGGTTTAGTTTGGGCTTTGTCATATATGTAGACCAAGGAAGAACTACGGCGTGAGCTTGCAGCACAACTAGTCTGCTCCCTTGGTATGTGCTCTCATATTCCCAGAAAAATCAAGAAACCTAATGAATGCCTTTTTTTAGGAGAGGGGTGTTATCCTACATGTACTGTATGTTGGGAGCATGCAATTGGGATGTTGCAGTATACTAGCTAACCTGTGGTAAGCTTACACTATTGCTCTTTTCCTTCTTCCTCCTACTATCTTTTACTTCTGCAAAATCTTTTACTATCTTCTGCATGAACCAGTTTACAATTCTGGGGGATGATATTGGCATTGGTGGTATGGTGATGTCATAAGGTCAATTATGACTTTCTGTTGATGTTCAGAGAGTGGGTTGGTTTGTTTGTTTACTTGTTTTAAAGTAGCAATGATTTGGTTAGCCATAAAAGGTCAGAGTTGTTGCTGGTTGTGGACCAGAACAAACCCAGTGTTTTTCTGGTGCATCTCTGACCAGAGTCTGGAAACTTGCAAAGGACTGGATATTGTAGTGGGTTTTGTTTGTTTTAAACATTAGGATTCAGCTTGAGGATCATTAGTGCTTTGCCACCAGCGTTTTTAAGTATGTATTTAATGATCAGGAAGACCAGCATTTGATGGCTACCCTTGTATAAAATAACATGCTAGGTTCTTCACATTCCTTTAGACAGCATAATTTTTTTTATGTGCTTACTATTAAATATTGGGTTTAATTCTTTAGCAGTGATTTACTTATGATGGCTTTGGTTGCATAGTCTTTCTGTTCTGAAGAAAATACTGTAAACATGGTGAAATTCAAATTCTTTATTAGCCAAGGAAGATTCAAGTTGTGCTCAATTTAAAACTATCCTACTGTAGAATTCTGGTGTCTTAATAAAAAATTATAAAAGTTTACTGAACTAACTTAGTCCTACATACCCCAAAGATTGTATCTTGTAATTTCCTTAAGCCTTTAATAGGAAGCATTCAGTTTTATTCTTGTGATGTAATTTATTATTAGCAATCTGGATAAAACCATTTAATTTGTGTGTGTGGGCATATTCTACACACAAATTATTGGGGGCTGGATATAATAGCTTGTTGTCCCAAAGCTGTATCATGAATCTAAGTGTCTTTTCCTATGGAAAAAAATTGTGCTATTTATCTGAAGAAGAATCACTACTGTGCAGAAGTAAGTAAGTAATGTCCCCTCTTTGTGCAGTGTTCAGTGGTGGAGTATATATCTTAAGATATTCTTGTGTTTCAAGACACTAAATACCTGTATGTCTTCTGAGAATTAATGTAGATAGAATTTGGGTGAATAGGAACATATTCTGGGGTAACATGCTCTTGGCCCAAAATACCTACCTTTGCTCTACTGTAAGCAACCTGTCTCCAGGCTGAAAGTCACCCTTGTCTAATGAATACTCTCACATCCTCTGTAGAGTAGAAGAATTTGGGAGGGGTCAAGCCTCTTGGTTCTGGGAAGCATAATGCTTGTCTTCTGGTCTGCTTTTGTGAGTCAGCCACTGCTAAAGGCTACTGGAGTAGCATCAGAAGAACTGAGCCTCTGAAGCACTTCATCACGGAAGCACCCTGTACCCTCATAGTTAAGGGCACCTTCTGAAGGTGGGAGATGGTGCTCAAAGGGAGTTGCATTCTGTGTTCATGCCCTAGTCACTGGTGTGTTTAAGAAGAGGGAATCAAGCTATTTTGTGCAGTTTTGTGGATCTGTGCTACTTGTGTTTTCTTTTTTTACTGAAGTTCTTGGATGTGGAAACAACTTTTTTTACTGATCAACTTTTTAACTTGGGGGGGAGGGGGAGGCTTTTGCCATATAATCCAATACAATGATTTAGGATACTTGCTGTCTAGTTCTTTCAAAATACCTTTTCAGAGTTCATTAATGATTTAGTGGATGCTGCTTAAGTTTCACAATACTCTGAGCAAATCTGAATCTGCAGCAGATGCTGGTTCTGCACTTCTGGTATTGGCACTTGTCTGATCCTGCATTTCCTAAGCTGGTTCAGAGAGCTCAAGTGGCAGAAAATAATTGACTTTTTCTGGTTTAGTTTGATTCCTTGAACCATCTATCCTATTGTGGTGCCTAAAAAGAGAGAATGTTGGGGAAAATACAGGATTTGCAGCAGTGTAACATTACAGGCATAAAACTTACTGAACCTCTGCAACTCTTCAAGTATTCTGTTTTTTGAGCAATTTCTTGCTTGTGACACTTTTTGCTAGTTGAAAAGTGCTATTTAGTGTTTGGAAGAGGCAAGCCATAATGAAATGTTGTCATAGCTCCATTCTTTGATCAGTGATCTTAAAGTTAAGGTCTGCAGTATGTCGTCTTTATCACTCATTCAGCTCATCAGTGCTGTAATCAGTTTAAAATCATCAGTGTTACAATAAGGCTTGTATTTTCCTCATGCTCCAGACAAAGCTGGCTGTTATCCAGAATTCTTCCTGCAATAGTTCCTTCTGCCTGTGTACTGTCATGGTAACTTTTGTAAGATGCAGTGGTTTATAAGATTAAATATGTAGTCCCTGATCCATGAAGGAATTTGGGCATTTGCATCCTGTTCAAAACAATGGGTAGATGCCTAGATGCTTTTGTAGATACACACATCTGAATTATTAGTTATTTCCTGCTTTTACATTTGAAGATGAATTTATGGTTAATTTTATAGAAACTACTTCTAAAGAAACATAATGATTCTTATTTCAGAGGAGCTGAAATACTTTTGTAACTGAAGCTTATTGCTTTTGTTTTAAACTCTTGTGCGTTTTTACATCTAAGCAAGCAGAATAAAGAGCTTACAAATGATACATGCTGCACTTGGTGGGTTTAAGTTTTGTCAAACACTCAAGGAGTGTACTCTCATTCGAGCAGATAAGTAAAATTAAGCAAATAGCACTGTTACGTTAGCAGGCATGCAAAAGCTATGTTACTGAATTTAGGGACTTGAATGCAAGGTAATAGGCTAGATGACTTTTTAAGTGCTGGTCTGTGCTGGTGAAGGAAATAAGAAAAAAAAGTAAATCTGATTCTTTTGTTAGCATGAATCTTTAATATGGTGTTTAGAGAGTGTACTGAGAGTCTCTTGACATCCAGGCGTAGCTTTAGTTCAGGCACTTCTATTTAGGAAAAACTTGTATTCATGAAAAAATTCATGTACAAATCTGTTGTGAACCACCTGGAATAGCTAACTATGTTCTTTGTTTCTTTCTAGGAAATACCAAAATAAAGCAGATGTTGTGTCCTGTACTGTTATCTCAAGGTTTTGCAAGTCATTCTGTTATATGCTTGACAAGGTTGCAATTACAGGTAAGAACAAATTCTGCCACTTGGAAATTTATGGGAAGGTATAATTGCTTTTATTTTGACTGTGTTTTAACTTGCAACTGACCAAGAATTTAACAAAATTTTCAGAACAGATTGGATAAAAGGATGTGGTTTCCCTTCTTTAAAAGCATTTTAATTTTGCTTAATCTGATTTGTAATAGGGAGGAAATATAATTTAAAGTATAGCTTCTCTGCTCTAGTACAAAGCACTGTTAAATGGAAAAAAAAACCCATTATTTTTTCAACACCTAAATATGTACTGACCCAGATTTTGAAGAAGGTATTTTCTCACACAAAAGACTGCACAGTGTCAGTTAGTAAAAGTCATGAAGTGTTTTGCCACTGTGTTGAGATCAGTGTACCATCTGTGTGTGGCACTTCAAGGTCTGTATTTCCTTAAATGTGCTAATGTCAGCAATACTGCTTAAGTTACCTTTTTTAATTGGTTAGAGAAAATCTCTAAATTTTTGTTACAAGTCCACTGTAATTTCAAGTCTTGAATCACCTTTTCAAGGGTGAACGTTGATTTCTTCTTCCAGGTTACTGAAAATGTTTTGGCTGCTGGTTTTCTATCATAACTTTATCCGACAATGATGCAGATAACTCTTGTCCCGCTATTCAATCACTGTCTTCTAAACTTGTATGTAGGGAACTAAGTCAATGTTCTTTTACTCTGACTTCTTTAAAAAAAAAAAAAATGAACCCAATAAATTCAATGCTACAAAACTATTAATTAAAAAAAAACAAACCACACCACCACAAATATGTCAGAGATTGTGTATTTGGTTTGTATGTTTATGAATAATTTATTTCTGTTTTTAAACAGGGAGTATGTGTTTTGAAGACTGTCCATGAAATAGCTTTATTGCATATGCTGAATCTGCAGAATTATCATCAAGTTAAGGCCTTTCAGTCTTGATTTCACATTTTGGTATCTTTGACAGGAAAAGTTGCTTGCCTTATAAGGGCTGCGCTTGTCAATAGTGGCAGGACAAGAGTCTGGACTGTTGGTATTAAGTGGTCTAATATGTCTTGCTCTGAAGTTGGATGATGCATAGGTCAGTGACAGGTTTGTGCCGAGGAGGCGGCATTGATTGTTCTGCTGCTACAATGAAAGAAGGGTTCAGATATGTGGGGGTTTTTTTGTTACTGTTGTCTTGACTGAATGATTATACTTACTGTGCAGTGATGTAACAGGTTGAGAAAAAGGCACAACTCTTCTTATACTGTGCAAGTCGTAGACTAATTTGTGTTGGAATGGACCTCTAGCACTCATCACGCCCAACCCTTATGTCTGACTTCCTCAGATTTGTGTGTGAATCAACAAGTCACCCCTCAATTATGTAAATAAATGGTTTAGTGTTTTACTGTGGTTCTGTAGACCTGCTGCAGAACACTTATTCTGGTCTTTCAGACCTGTTTAGGAGTAATTTATTGATGATATGAATTGGTGATTCATTGCTGCCCTATTCTCACAAAAATGCATCTGAAGCTTTTGGTAAACAGAGATTGAAAGAGGTAAGAAAAGAAGTTGTCTTCGAAGCCTAAATGTAGAATAAGGGAGAACTCATTTTTAGTGACATACTGCTTCATGCTAATGAGTAAAAAAAACCCTTCAGTTGTAATACCAATAATGTATTGGCTAAACATTGGCTCTCTTTCTTCAAAATCTTATGTGCTATTTCTTTATTAAAAACCTGGCTGCTGGTGGTTAGATTGATGACTGAAAAGGAGCAAACTAAATTTAACTCAAAATAGTTGGTCTCTTATTGAATTTAGAGAAGGAAAAAAAAAATATTCTGCATAGAAATAACTGTAAACTTTGTTAGGGAAGAATCATTGCTTTGTAGTACCCAGGTGCCTTGCATGCATCTGTTTTGAATAGCCTAGTAAAGAAGTAAGGACATGCTTACTGGCTACAGGAAGTATGAGCGAATATATGCAAACAAAAGGAATTTCAGTTAATATCATGGGGCACAAATCTTGTCATAGTATGGTCAGTAGGGATAAACAAGAGTACAGTGCTGTCTTCTGGGTGGTATAATAAAGCCACACCACGTTGCAGGGTTTGAGTTAAGGACAAAATGTTACTTCGGGGTTAATAAGCCCAAACAGGTAATAACTGGTTTAACCAAGTAGGTCCATTTCACTCGGGTGCCAGTGCACCAAACTCCTACTTCAAGAAAATGGTACAAAAGCATGAATACTGGTTTATGCAGAGCTATCTTGGCTCTCAGACTTTAGCCTTCATTCTGTTCCCATGATGGTGCTAGAAGCAATAGTCTGTTTCCTTTGCACTGTTTGGGCCCAATTTTGTTGTGCTTGGTGAACCAACCTGGGTATTTATGTATCTTACATAACACTTTTTGTATGGTTAATCTGTAACTCAGATAAACTGTTTGCAGATAACAAAGGGGATTGGATTTCCCAGACTTCATAGTGTTTAGAGGAAATCTTGATAAAGAAAACCTGAAGTTGTTACCTGGAAAAAGATAAGTGACATTAATGAAGGGATTGACTGCAGTAGTGTTTCTTGCTGAGAATGATACTACATTCCTCTTGTTCAGTAGTAAGTCCCAGCCGTGGTACCAAAGTGAACTAAGGGCTGATTGCTGTCAGAAGTCATGCTGGCAAGGACAGGATTCTGTGTAACTAACTAGGAAAATCACTACATATGCAACTTACGTAAGGGTGAAGCTGTGTGATGAGAACTTGGTGACCGTAAAAATGCATCAACCTGGGCACTGATATCTTCGTACTACATGCTGTGATTGCAAAGCTAGTCAGAGTCCACTTCCAAGTTTTCTGTGAAGTTCGTCTTGAATATTTGAGGTATGATCTCTAACTTTGCACATACCAAATGGCACTCCAGAAAAATAAGAAGCCACAGCATGGAAGTGTGCAACTCACCCATGAGAGTCAGATGGTTGCCATGTAAGCTGAGCTTAAAGATATGCAGTTGCCTAGCTTCATCCATGTTTTAGTAAAGCACAAGAAAGCAAAATATGAAATGAACCTCTGAAAAGACCATGAGCATATATGTTTTTCTGGTGTTAACATAGCTTAAAAGGTTATAGCTCTTAACCTAGCTCCTGGTGCTTCTTTCTATTTTTTCCCACACTGTCTTCCCTGTTGAAGGTTACTGCCCCCTTGGATCTGCTGTCTAAGCTGCTGGCTTCAAAACCCACTGCAGTCAAAGTCACAAAGTTTCAAAATACTAAAGCTAACTTTACACCTCTTCAGTGAAAGAGTACAAAGACTTAAGGGCAAAAACATCTCAGCCAGCAGTTCTGAAAGAAAAGAAATTGCTGGCACAATGTAGTGGTGAGTAGCTGAGGCAGAGCAGCAGTGATAATGTTTTCGGGTATTGCCACTGACATTGAAAATAGATGTGAATCCACAGTGCTAAATTACGCCTGTAGTTGTTTTGTAGCTCCAGACCAGTTTAAAGCAGCAGACCAGTTTAAAGCAGCAGAAGCATGTTCTTGACTCTTCATATCCTTTTTAACTTGTTGGTTTTAAAGACCGGGGGTGGGGGGAAATGTTGTGTGTTTTGCTTGGTTTTGTTATTGTTTTCCCCTGGCTGTAACAATAGAGATGCAGAAATTAATTTCAAAGTTATAGCTGTAGCTCCTAGCTATGTGGTCTACCTGGTGATGGGGATAACTTGCAAAATTTTTGAAATTCCTTGTTTAAAAGCCTATTGGGCTTCTTTCATGTCATCCTGGCAGGAAAAGTTTTTGACAGTGGGCTCTATATTAAAGGTTTAATTTCTGTGTGTCAGTATATTTGATCAGCTGAGATCCTTCCTGATGGTGACTCTCATGGCAACAGATAATTTTAAAACAAAACAAAAACCCCTTAAAACAATAAACCCTATAGTGAGTGGACATGAATGATAATCACTGTCCTTTTATGTAGTTAATTTTTAAGTGAGAGTAAAATATTCAGATCTCATTCTTAGACTCCAATAATTGCTGTTTGACTCTGCCAGTACTTGTGGCTATGTAGTTAGAGTAGCTGTTACAGCCAAGCTTCAAGTAGAGCTCTTGCTCAAAAATTCAGTAGCTCTTTGCCTAATGTAAATTTAGGTAGTGCCAGCATTTTTAAGGTTGGTAGGTAAAAGTGATCTCAAGTTTTCCAAGATCAAAAATTGTTTCATCCATCAAATGAACTTGTATTTAATATGCATATAGTATAAATAGATAGTATTATGTAACTGGTGATAGTATAATGATCATATATTGTAAGCAAACACACGATTACTAACAGATTATTTAAAATATACTGTCACTATTTCTTTGGTGTTGAAGGGTACAGGGAATCTTTGAATGTCAAAACTATCTACAGTGTGTGTAGACACATCTGTTGGGTTGTGTGTGTGTGTATGCACATGCATACGCACTAGAGAGAGAGAGTGTAAGATGGAGACAGAGGAGCTTTCTACTAAGGCTAAGTTTGAATTTTTTACTTCAACCAGAAAAGTTATTTCTTCCTGCATTTTCAATAAGCTTTGAAATTATTTGTCACAGATATTTTGATTATTTACTTGTCACTTACATCTTTAATATCTAGTGCAGCATTTTCTGTTGAAACGTCATATTTTTTTATAGCAGGAGCACATGTGTTTTGTAACAGGAAACTCTGGCACTGTTTCTTTTCCACAGCACTGACTTATTAAAAATGACTGGCCTGTTGAGTGAATCCTTCTGAGGAAGAGACATTTTACAGTACACTTTTATGACCTAAGCCCAAAAGATTGATGTTGGATCATTCTCGTTATATGAAAATTATTGCCTTTGGGACTGTTGGCCATCAAGGTATTAGTCTAGTTCTGATGTTCTATTTGAAACTGACATGTTATCCAAAAATAATTTTATAGTAGCTACAAAAACTTTGATTATGGCTTTCAGACATTTATAATCTAATTACATTTTGGCCGCCTTCATGACAACCAGCAAAT